AGGTCACGTTCAGTCCTGCTCACACGCAGACACACACACACAYATATACATGAAGTTTTATTTATAGTCACACAGATGCATGCATGCACAGACGCTGTTTTTGAGTTACACATGCAGGAGGTTTACCCCTTCCTATTTGATTTATKCTGGAGATGGGAAGAACACCAGGAGCTCACTTTTCTAGGGGGAAGMATAGGGATGGGAGAAAGCTCCATCTCATTATGCCAGGGGAAAAGATTCAACTYTTTTTTCAAGAAATGAGACATGACTAATCCCAAATTCACAAGGACCTGCCGAAATTGAAGGTCAGTCACAAAGTGCTATAACTATCTAGTTCTACACTGATATCTCAAACACCCTTCAAGAAAACTGTGTCCCCAAATCCTGGCACTTCTCCCAGTAATCCAGTTTTCAAACTGTTGCACAGATACTACAGCAGTCCTCAGGACATTAGAAAGCTATTTTGACATGATTTAATAGAATAATTACACCATGAAGTAAAAATAGAAAAAAAAGGGAATAATGAAGTTCACCCTAGTAAAGTGATTTGACCCAAGAGAGACAAAAATGCTCATCTTTATGGAAGAGATAGTCCTACAGAAGTGTCTGATCTCAGTGGTCTTTCAAGAAAACTGAGGAGAAACTGAGGCTAAGATAAAAATTGGTATGACCCAGACTRAAACCAGTGACCTGTTCAGTTGCAGAGGAGTTTCACAAATGATGGAAAACATCTATTCTGCACAATGAAAAACAAATTTAAAAATTACCGTTTCTACCTAGAGGCTTCAGAGCTCCAGCTCCTACAGGTTTGGAAAACTGCCCCTTATCAAGATAGAAGACTGCAGCTTGCAAAATGCACCAGCAATTGCAGAGCTGCCCAAAAAGCAGATGATGTAGATGACAGAGAACTGTCAGACCAATCAYTGAACCATTAATTATCAATTCTATCAGTTAATGAATTATTAATTGTAGCAGTTAATGACTTGTTCCCAAAATWCTACTATGAGAGAAGAAAAGCAATGACAGAGGTCCCTCATGTGACAACCCCAGCCCTGAATGCACTGACCCTGGCTACTGAGAAGGGCCCACAGCCATGCAATGTATGGAGCAGGAAGAGGAGCCCTTCCCATGACCCATCCCACACCTCCACTCCTGTTCCACTCACCCCAAATTCTTCCCTCTCCTACMCTCAGAGTATTGAAGGGGATGTGGCCAATGACTTTTTAGCTGAATTGCCTAACTTCTCTCAGCTTGGAAGAGGCAACAGYAGATAAACCTCAAGTGCTGTTGTTCATCTGCTCATAAAGAGCAGGTTTTGTGTGCAGTTTCAGTACTATAAACAAACAGAAATATGACAAGAGACATCCAACTCCACACAAAAAGTGAATTTGGATCCATTACAGTAAAATAGTTGGAAGCTAAGGTTAAAAACACCTGTTCATCACTATTTTAAATTCACAGCCTTTTGTGGCAAGATGGCAAAAGGTTTCTAACAGACCATGCATACTGTGATAGCAGAGCASAACAGGGTGATTTAAGGATGAGGGGAGAGTCAACCAGAGCTTCACCCTGATTATCATCATTTTTGTTCTTTTCTGGATTTGAATTACATTCTTTCAAGTTGTTTTACTTTAATGTTGGATTGTTGATATAGTAATCTAAGGAGATAATAAACACAGCCCACCAGGAAAAAACCCGCAAACCCTAACAAGAATTCTTGATATAAATCAGACTGACTCGAGCAGGCTCAATGACTTCTTCAAAGACCTTATTGATATTCATATAGTAAAACATGTCTGCACCAATGATGATAATTGGCTGCTATGTGCCTTTCATCCAAGGATCTCAATCTGTAGCTCACAACAACACGATGAATTCAGTAGGGTCTCTGCATTTCACAGAGGTTCTACAGCCAGAGAGCAGCTCAGTAACAACAYAAGGAGCCAGGCACAAAGTCCTTGAGGAGGTGTGGAGGGGGACTTTTGATTCTAGTAATGCCCYCATTCTAAATATTCACTTATGCTCTATCCCCCATGCAAACGTAAGTTTGTCTTTCCTTTGTCCATCTGTAACATATTGTGACAGAAAAAAGACTCAAGTTTCCTAACCAGAGCCCAGTCCTGCTAAATGTTTACTGTGCACTAGGAAAAGAAAATTTTCACCTCCCCAGGAAGCYACACAGAGCTGTGGATGTCCACCCAGCACTGACACAGCTCCAGTGTGCCAGCACAATGGGGGAAATGGGCCATCATCTCCTTACTCCTTGGTCCYGGGCTCAGCCTTTGCCCAGCACCTCACCCCATCTGTGCTTGCCATTGCCATTGACTATGCCCAGGGCTATCAAACTACCATCTAAGAGGCAGAAAACAAGGTAAGTGTGACCTGCATCTAGAGGAGAATAATATAGATGCTCCGCATCTTTTGTCCTGTTGTCATGTTTTTAGTATTATTTTTTTWAAAAAAWTCCTCCACACTAAGTTTGGTATTGGTTTGTAATGAGGATGTTCTCCTTGGTRTTTTACAGCTTTTTTAATCAGGTGACAGAAAAAACAATTCCCAATCTCCTCCAGAGTGAACCCACAGGCAGATTAGGTGAAGGAGACATCTGGGAACTGCTGGTTCTAAAAGCACCAGACTTCACTCCTGCTCCAAAATAATAAGCTCACCAAACCATCATAGAGTGGACACAGACTTGAGAATCTCTGAAGTGGGGTCAGTCTTCCATGAAAAGAAGAAATCCTATGCAGGGCTACCAGCTCTAGRGGGTAAAACAATACTCCTCCATGCCCAAACCCAGATTTCACTGCAGCTTTCTAAGAACTGGAGATGATTTAGTGCCAACAGGCATTTCCTTTTGGGTCCTTTAACATAGGTATCTTCTCATGCTGAACATCAAACCCRTTCATCCTGGTCCCACAGGGTTGCTCTGACATTATTCCCAGCCTGCACTGAAGAAATCACTGCACTGCAAAGCTCAGGCTTTCCATGCCCACACTTGTTCTTAAATGGGAATTAGCTCAGTTATAGCCCAAAAGAGCCCTTTAATGGCCAACATATGGTTTGGCATCCTGCCAGCAGAGCTCTCCTAAAGCCATGCAGCCAAGTGACACCATCAGTTACAAAATCTATGTGTGTCAGGTCACCRGGTTATGAAACAGAAGTGGTGTAAGCATGTAAGGACATGGCTGAGGCTCTGCTGTGAACGAGATAAAATTAGTTTTGTGAAATCAGATTACTATCTTGGAATGCATTCCAGTGGGAAAGGGTTGCTGCATTGTAATAGCATTTATTCTGGGAAATATGAGTCCCAGTATCCAGAACTGTTAAAAAACACTGAAACCAGTAAAGATGCTAATCCATAGGGTGCTACTATGACACTGCAGCTACCACAATGGTGAGGTACTGCAAGCCTGGATGGAAAAATCCTGTTTAGACTGCACTGTGCTGRACTACAGTAAAAATCAGAAGTCACTCTTTCCACAGGAAATGACAGCAACACAAAATGAAAACCATGATAACAAGCAATATGACTCTCCCACACTTCACTTCCCAGTAACACCAAAGAACACAGACATTTGTAGCACACTTYAGAAAAGTCAGCTCCATTGCAGAGGTATCATGAGCAACAAGTGTGTGTCCCTCTCAGTCAGTCCTGCCTCMCAAACCAACTGAGAACCAGGAGAGTAACAGAAGGTGAGAACTAGAATAAGGTCAAAAAAGAAAGGGGAAAARTTATGAGAAAAGGAAGCCAACACATGTAAAGTATCATTACATTGTACTGATTCAAAAAATGCAACCTGTATGAACATTTTTAAAATACAATCCATGGCAGAGAGAAAGACAAACTCTCAGACAAGTGATACAGCTGTCAAACCTTAAACAATACAGACACTGGAAAAAAAAGTGGCCAATATCAATAAACATCTTGTTCTAAACTGAGAAAGACTGCTAGGATTATTTCTGGATTACAATTGCACTTCTGGAGCACTCAGTTACCGCTGTAACTGTGGTGGTAACCACTAGGTGAGATGAAGAGCCAAGGCAAAGTAAAGYCATACTAAACAATAAAGCATGAAGGGGGAAATTAGAAGGTCAGACAAATATAAAAAAGAAAGATGGAAAATTACACAGATGCTAATAAAGTTGCTGAATTGCAGTGCAAGAGATTATAGAGAAACCCATCCTTCCCAAATCCCTTTCTGCTCTCCCCGCTTCTCCTKATCCTTCTCTGCAAATGAAAATGTAACTTTTGTTTATGCTATATGTAAATGCTGAGAATCAAAGYCATTACACCCAGCTTCTGAGCACTGCAGAAAAACAAAAAGGCCATTATTTGGATGGAGAATCAGTCTGTATCACTGACTTGACTGTTCCCTTTTTTATTAGCAGCTGTTAGAGCAGGGATCAGGGAGTGTGCTGGTGCAGTGCAGCTGTTCCACATATGTTATAAATAAGGGCTGGTAAAACCTCATCCTATTTTTAACATTACAAAAAAAAAAAAAAACCCAAGCCACAAAAACTCCCCATTAATGCCTTCTAAGTGGAACTTTTCTTCTCTTCTTGACTTTTATGTCCAGAACTCAATACTCAAACCAGACCATTCTTAAAACAATATTCATTAAAAAAAAGAAAAGAAAATGCAATTTAGTGGAATCAGATTTAGCCAGCCTGGAGGATGTAACCAATTAGTGTGTACAGCGTCTTTTCCTTCAAAAGTAGACACTTAATCAGGATGAAAACACCCCCCTGAGATTCTATTTCTAACAAAAGTGCTGGATTACCGCATCAAAGTTTCTCTAGCACAACCCAAAAGCTGAACCCAGCCTCACATGGCTCAGACACCACCACCCACCCTTCCCAAAGCAGCGCTCCGCTCCCTCCCCTTGCTGGGTGGCTGCGTGCGGCCAGAGCCCAGATCCTGCTCACCAACCCCAAGGCTGAAAAGGTCAACAGCCATTCAATGGGAAGGTGAAACCCAACCCCAGGCAAACCCCACTCACCTGTTTTCGGGGTCTGACACTGTCATGTTGCGCGTCACGTAGCACATCTTGAGCGGAATTGTCTTCCTGTCTCTGTGGATGGAGAGCGAAAGCTGCGCCATCGTGTCAGCCGAGGCACAGCCCAAGCGCGGGGATTCGGGGGGAGGCGTCTCCCACCCGATCTCTGACACGGGGGAGCCTTTCTTCACGTAGGGGGTTGCTTCTCTCATGTATTTCACTATGGAAAAGAGAAAAAAAAGATGSMAAACAATCAGTAAATGAATATTCARAAGTTGCATCCCCATGTGAGTTCTCTGGTGTTAACCCTCATTGCTGTCCATTATTTCTGCTCACCCAGCATCCCGGGGTGGGAAGCTGTGCAAATACAGAAGATGAGGATTTGCTGCCAGCCTCAGTATGGTGCCATGAGTAAAATGTGGGAAAAGAACAGAACAGGCAAAGTTAGAACATCCAGGCAGTGTAAGGCCAGGAGAGCCATCCCAGCTTTGTAAGCACTCATGCAACCATTCCTTCATATGGGAGCTGTAAGCTGTCTGAGGTTCAGAGATGTTTTAAAGAAAGATATTCAACCAAGTGGCAGTGAACATATTATTGTCCTATCTAAAATGTTCCAGCAATACTTCCAGTGCTGCCAACTCACATCATGCTCCTGGTTCACACTTGTCAGGGTCCCTCCACTGATCTCAACAGGTATTTCTGCTTGCTGGGAAGCAGCTTTAGCTAATCTACTTGTACATATATATATGTGGAGTAAACAAARACCAATTCACTTCTTAGCCTTCTGTTGGGGAAATAAAATTGAGTTTTTGCCTTTTGTGAGAGTGAAAATGTCAGATTAGWTCTCAGCCTCTTCCAGGCTTTTTTTCCAGAATGGATGAGAAAGGTGAATGTAGGATTCTGAAATTATSTTAATGTATTAAAACCCAGTATCTCTTTTACATGTATACTTCATATTCTCCTCTTTAGGCAGGCAAATACTGCAACGTTTTTCTCTTTTTTTTTTTAAATTCTTTTGGTAGTTTAAGCTCACTTTTGTTTTTGTGACTGATGTGCTTGCCAAATCTGCAGTCACAGCCTCCTTCCCCTCCACAAACCTGATGGAGCTCAGACAGGACAAGACCTCCCATTGAAGTGCCCTGGTTAAACCAACATCCCCTGCACACATCTGTGGCTGCATGGTGGGCTGCTGCCACTGGATTGTACCCACAACTCCAACAGCAGTGACATGAACTGAGAGGGCAGGGGCACTGAGAACTTATTTTGGGAAGTTATTAAAATGCTGTGAGAGAACATTTCAAGGAAATGGTGCAGATCATCATGTCACCTCAGCTGAAGAAGCTGAGAGTGACTGAATAACAAAAAGGTGGATAAATCACAAAAGGGCATTGTGGTGAAGGACGTTAAGTTAGGGGAAGATGACTGAAGTTTTTGAGTTCAAAATGAAAGCAAGATAAGTGTTCAGAARAGTGGAGAAGAACAACAGTGTTAATATCAAAACCACAGATCAGGTTATTGACTTCAGCAGTACTATTTTCACAGCAGTTCATAAAAATTTTACCAAGAGAGAAACCAGTGCAAAACTGCAAAACCAGAGTCCAGGCTCTGTGAGAACCTATTGATACTTTTTCTCTAAAACACCTTAGTGCCCATCCTGCCATTGTTYGCTTCCTCCTTTTAAAAAAATCTTCAATCACAAGGACTTCTGTGTCCTCATTTCTTAGGTATGTTACTGGATTTTCCTCTGTGAGAAGTACCATTTGTGATTTATCAGAAAGGCTGTCCTACCAAACACTGATGTTTTTATTTCCTTGTCCAATTCTATTCTGAGCATTTTTTAACTTAATTGGTTCTTCACTTAGAGAAGAGTTGGCACAAAATTCCACCAGACTTCAAGGTGGAATTAGGATTTTGATARATAAGAATTAAGATAATTGCCTTTTTCAATCAAAAAGAGTTGAGATTGTTAATTTTTTTAAACTTTTTGTAGACATCTACCTGAAGTCCAYTATCTAAAATCCTAATTCCCAAAACCAGTGCTCATCTTTGGGTACTACAAAAATTACATGATTTTCAAAGGTGCTGAAAATAGGCAGTTGTAGCCAGTGTCATAAAGACTGGTTTCACAGTCGGCATCTCAGCCTTAGGGAAACCCAGACACAGAATATACACAGATGTGGTAAATCTGTTCCTGTTAACACTGAACGAATACAACTTGGTCATTAATTTAGATGAGAGGAACAGCTGAAGCTGTAAAAGTCACGTTCAACTGCAAACAAATTTTTGTTCCCTTTAAAATTGGAGATTAATGATTAATCTGTTGGAGAAAAAGTAATCTGGTCAGTTTTTGAACCCTGGTACAGTGACATGCCAGCAAACGTGATTCTAATAAAGGTCCAGGTCTCAACAGTGTAGCTATTTCATCTGTGCTATTTTTGTCCTTTTTCAGTTGCAGCTATATGCATTCAACCTTAGCATATTTTAATTAAGAAAAGGAGAGAGGTGCAGGGGAAGGAAGGAAGCTGAAGTAAAAAATTTGGCTGAAAACCTAAGCAGGAACACAAGATGTGAATTTAATTCCCCAGAGATGGGACAGAAGAAAARAGCCAGCCCTTCCATGTGCCAAAAGCAAAGTTTCCATGAGACGTACCAGTGCATTCATGAAAGACAGCTGCAATGTCTCACAAAATCCCATGAAAAAGGAAGCAGGAGTAGGGGGAGAACAGAAACATAATCCTCTTTCCAGAAACTGAGTCTCAAACACAGCAAAAGCCAAAAAACCTACCTTGAGGAAGTACATCCTATGAAAACTCCTTCCAACTTCTGAACTCACAAACATCTAGTTTCTACTACGTCTCAACAGAAGATGGTTACTCAGCCCCAGAGATATGACAAAAGCTAATAATGCACAGATAAACTGCTAACACCATCTTCATATGAAATTCTACAGTAGAATGAAAAAATGAATATATGTTTTCCACTAAAAAAAGGAAGAAGAAAGGTTTTTTTTAGCTTTTACTAATGACATCCTACTTCCTACTAAACACAAGCACAGCTCTCTGGATTCATGGCTGAATTCTGCTGGGTTTTACAGCCCAGACTTTATGGCTGTTGCATATTCAGGTGTGTTTCATATTTTAAAAGCCCCCAAATGAATAAATATAAAAGCATAAACATAATATGCAAGTGGAACAGGTGGCAGAACTTGATCCATTTATATAATTTTTTGCTATTATTTAAATTTCAGAGCCACTGCTTTCCATTTACTTCATCAACATCTGTAATTATATGTCMATAACCAAAGTCCAGTTTATGAATTTAGCTGAAATCAGGCACACACTGTTCAGATGACTCATAAGTTTTATCAGCAATTATTTCYTATTTACCTCTAAATTCTGGATGCAAATACCACAGAACATGCTGTTTTAAAACAATGTACCAGCAACCCTACCACATACACAGCAATTTAGGGTGACCCCACACATYTACATTTTGCAGCCTATTCACTGACCAGTTCTTAATCCACATAGCAGAAAACAAGTTGATACCAGTATCTATTACTGGCACATTTCTATTCCACACTGCACTATCTGGGATTCATGGATACWGCAAAGTTAAACTGAAGTTATACAATCCACTTCCATCATCAAGTTTTAAAATCATAAAAAAAGATGATACAGTCTATTGGACATTAAAATAATAATGTGGATAATACTCWGTTTTCAGAACATTACACTCAAGAGCTAGATTTGCTTTGGGATACAGTAGCACAAATTCAGGTACTGACTGAAAAAGGAAGTGACTATCAAAAGCACTGGTTTTATATATTGTCAGTGAAACTACCTAATGAATTAAAACCTCGAATTAATAATAATTAATAATAATAATAATTTTATTATTATTAAATAAATAAAACATGTCATTTTATAACAACTCTGAATTATGAATAACACGTCTATAAGCATGCATACATATGTAAATGCCTTCAGAGTATAGATGTATGTCTAACACATATACAAATACAAAATACATTTATATAAAAATGCCACAATATTTRAGATCACCAGAATGTACTCTGCAAACACAGAAAACAACAGGCAGGGACTCAGAAAAAAAAATTCTAATTGTTTCATAATTATAACTCAATTTACTGATAAACTGTCGGTTTYGGGAGTTGTCTAAAGTCATTCATTTGATGCTATAGCTCAACTTCAGAGATCCTTATATTCTACTAATTAATGATCCATACCCTTTGGTATGGTGCACCATTAACAGGAAACTGGGGTCAAGCAATTAAAATTCCAATCTCCAGAGTGCCCCCCCACCAAAGAGAAGAGGAAGAGAAGGGGCAATCAAATGAAATAATCCACTGATATGCATTGAAATAGTTTGGATTTATTTTTTGATCTGCAATACAGGCAATGTGGCTTCCAAAAAAGCACTTCATTTATAAGCACTTCTGCCAAGTCCCAAGACTCCACAATTAATCCTTTGTTACTGCTCACAGATTATTTTTTTGGGGGGAAAGAAGTAGGCTTTTAATGAAAAATACTACAGACCAACTTGGTCAGGTTCCTGGCCAGATGCCTTTCTGAGGAGCTGGGACTCKTCTGACACATTCAAACTGTTTCCTAGGAGGGAAGACAAAGAGCGCTGAGGGGAAGCCAGAGAGCCGGAGGAAAACTCTTTTGTTACTACAGGAATGAGGACAGGATGTGTAGGTTTACAACACGAAAGTAAAAGGAACAACATACCCAAATCTGCTTGAAGACAGTTCATCAAGGAATTCCCCTTTGCAGGAGAAAAGCACAGAGTGTCCTCTATCATGATACCAGAATTTGCCTTCTAGGCTTTATACAAGAGATCAAATTTCCTCTAAACTCAAGCCAACTGCATGCCTTATACTGAAGACCTGTATAAAAACGAGACGAGCTGCTGGTRCCATCATCAAAACTAAGATCCAGATATTTGAAAAAAGAGTTTATGAATCAGATCACGTAGGAAGATGTGTCACATGATCCTTTCAGCAGCTTTAATGTGGGCATAAACTAAAAAAGTCAACAATCCTGCTTGTCAGTGTTTCCACTACATTTCCTACAGAAACATCTGTTACTACATTCGGACAATAAGTATCCATTAACATCATCTGCTTTCCCCCATGCTGAAAGGGATTTKAAATAGTAAAGCTCTTGATCTGCCAAGAGCATCAGATTCCCACCT